TATATATATATATATATATATATATATATATATATATATATATATATATATATATATATATATATATATATATATCTTCTCGCAACCGTTTAATGTTCTGTTTATTATATGGACTTAAAATTCCGAGTGACAAAATTACACGGAAAGACGATATGCAAATAAGCTACGAAAGACCAGACCGATATTTTTAAAATTATAGTGCAAATATTAAAAACTAGAATAAATTTTACTTCTCTCAAAATGTCTTTTAAAGGTTTTCGTTTTAATTCCAACGTTAATTTCGTTTTATATACGAACCAAGGACGATCTGTATTTTCGAAACAACAACAATGAAAATGGCAGGAAATTTTCGAACTTTGTATGCCACTCGGAAGCGTGAAATACGGAATATACCCGCATCTTGTCCCGGTTGTAATGGCATATGAGTTCTACGTGTGTTTTAGGTTCCAGTAAAACACCAATGTCCATATAATAAAATTGTATATTAAATTCAACACATAGGTGAAACACGTGCTCAGGGATATTCCTTTACAATAATACAGTTGAAACTGAGATTTCGTAAACAAATAACTGGAAAATAGGATTAAGAGAAATGTGAGCTGGCAAATGGGTCTAGATTCCCTCCCCTTAATTAAGGACTCTCTAACAATATTGACCCATAAGAGCACTAGATAAATCATCATATATATTTAGTAATCATGAGACAAGAGGACTTATAATTAAGAAGTATTTAATTACCAACAGAAAATGTAAATGAAAAGTTACAAAAATACTTATTACATAAAAAATTCAAAACTAGTCTATATGGATATCCACGATTAATTATTTAAAGATAAGGAGATTATACATGACGGTTATAATTAGATGTTTCGCCTTACTGTTCTTAATTTCGTTATTGTTCTTAAGAATCATCACAGGTATAAATGATGAAAGATCCCTCGTATACTACAATTGATGCATGGTGCTATTTATGACTATTTCATTTACTACTTTTCACTACAATCAAAGCATTAACACTTGGAAAAAAACATAACGTTAAATAATCAATGACAACGTTATTTTTTACAACAGAAATAATAAAGACAACACAAAATAAAAAGGCTAGTTCCGCCACCGCCTGCACCAATGCCAATCTTCACACCAAATGCTAAATAAAAATAATGGAACGTTATAATGGAACGTCATAGTCAATAACCTATCTGCAAAACACGCTTCACAACAAGAAGAAATGGGAATGCTAGTTCAAAAACTCGAAAGAAATGAACATTTAATCAATCCAAATTTATAAATCGCATACAAATTTTGCTCTGATTTACGTAAATTTTAGCTTCGATTTTCTCGGCTAAAACGAACCATGTCGCCAAAATAATTTGTCAATATTATTATTTTAATGTGTCCAATCTATATTTTAACGAGGAGCATCGCATCTGTATCCGACTCAACCTCGGACGCTGGCTTGTGAGGTTGTTTGTAAAGCAGAGTGCATTCTCATACCTTGAGTATCACTTGTAATATTATATTGTAAGTTGTTTAATTAATCAATTAATATTAATGTCTACATATTCTTTAAAATGCAGATATTTCGAAACTCATCAATAGGAGCACGTATTTGGGAACGCGTGGATGAGATCTCCATTTCTTTATTAGTAAGAGCGAATTAGGTAATATTGCCACAAGCAGGGCCGCCGAGAGCTTGGCGCGGGCCCGGGGCAAAAAATTTTTTAGGGGCCCCTATTGCAAAAAAATTTTCGGGAAAAAAATTTTTCCGACAATAAATTCTTTTTAGGTGCGTTATAATTGCTTTCGTTGGACTTTTCCGCAATTTTCCATACCAAATTTCGGTTCATTGCCCCCAAAACACAAATATTTTGGCCCGAAAACAGAAATATTTCGCCCGAAAAAATGACTGGGGCCCATTAAATTTCTAACATTAAATTTTTAGGGGCCCCCAGAACCTCGGGGCCCGGGGCAATTTGCCCCCCCCCCTGCCCCTCCCCCCCTCTCGGCGGCCCTGGCCACAAGTAAGTCAAACAATGAGTGACTGGATGGCGGAGAGAACAATTAAAATCCAAAAGACCATTCCGACCACTGAATTGGATTGCAAAAGCATGCCACAATCTTTATGTCAGGTTATTCTTTTAACCGAAATTCGAGAGCAATATAAAGTCAGATTGTTTATTGGTAAGCAGTCTCGTTTCTACTGTATTCTCGTGTTTGGAAATCGTCCTTTGCATTGGCAATTGAGACAATAGGGCAGGGAGGGGGGGGAGGGAGAAATATACCCTCCCAAACTTTAGAAAACGACAGAGAATTGTGCACATACTATACAGGAAAAATCAAGAAAATTTGGAAAGATACAGGTTATTCATTAAATTCATGCAGGTTATTATTACAATTCACGATAAAAATTCTGGAAAACTTTGAGCTGTCCCTCATCCCGGAAAGCATCAGACAGTCACATGCACTTGTTTATACTAACTCATGTATAAAACAATATTACGTTGATTGCTTATGATCTTACTCTGAGTGTATATCCACACCGGACAAGCTTCAAAAATATGTCTGGCCATGGTGGGAAGCAAAACTACGACCTTTGGAATACCAGCCCAATGCTCTGCCAACTGAGTTAATTACGCGGTCTGGTCGGTTCGAGTATCTGATATTTCGGAACCGAATCTAGTTCCCTCGATTTCGATGTAATCTAATAATCATGATTTTCTGTGTTGGTGTAATTGTACTCAGATGAATATGATGCTTGTGATGTTACTCTGAGTGTATATCCACACCCGGCGAGCTTGAAAAATATGCCTGGCCACGGTGGGAATCGAACCTACGACCTTTGGAATGCCAGCCCGATGCTCTGCCAACTCAGCTATACTCGAACGGACTGACGGCGTAGCTCAGTTGGCAGAGCATTCGGTTGGTATTGCAAAGGTCATAGGTTCGATTCTAATCGTGGCAAGTCATATTTTTCAAGCTTGCCCGTTGTGTATATACACCCAGGGTAACATCACAGGCATCTTATTCACCTGAGTACAATTACACCAACACAGAAAAATCATATTATTAGATTACATCGATATCGTAGGAACTAGATTCAGTCCCAAAATAATACACACTCGAACCGACCTGACCGCGTACAGTAGCTCAATTGGCAGAGCATTGGGCTGGTATTGGAAAGGTCGTAGGTTCGTTTAGGTTCTTCAATATCAGGTCGAAAGTGGTCAGGGGCGCAGCCAGCCTTAAAAGAAGAGTGAGTGTGGGGGGTCCAGCGGTCGATTACATTGAAGAAGAGGTTCTGTGAAACGCTATTTCATGCACCTTAGACACGTTTTATCATAATCTGAAAGTGACAGTTTGGTATATGTTACGTCACAGATGAAATTAACAGGTTACGCCACCCACAAATTTGAAATAACTACAAAGCTGGTCCAAAAAAAAGGGGGAGAGATGCTCGGGTCCCATGGCTACGATACTGAAAGTAGTACATTAATTGCTAACTATGGTAGGAAGGGGTCACGTCAAAACTTACAGAGGCCAGCACTGCTGTTGTCGTTGCTATTGTTGTTGTTGTTGTTGTTGCTGCCTCCACTACCTGCCATTGCAAAAAAAAACACATACGTTACAAATATGGTGAAATACTATTCTGACACTCACTAGTAATTTATGAACCCAATAGAAATGAAATCAACATTTAGTCCGTATTTTTGAAACAAGAAAAAAGACGACCAGCAGATCATTTTGACATTTAAAGTAGTAATACTTCGAAGATATGTAATCACAACGTTGGGTAAGTCAGTTTAAGTACTCGACTTCGGTCGTTAGTGGGATTTCAAAATCCGGTCGTACTAATAAGGCTCGCTTTTTTAAAGAGTTTTTTAAGCTGGTGCTCTGGCATACCGATGAACCACTGATAAATGATCCCTTAGCGAACGACGTTAATCCCGAGATTAGGATACTAAACACAGGGGCGACACTACCGCTGGGAGTGGGGGGGGGTGAATGATACCCCCAGTCGGGTATACAAATACAATTTCTTCGGGCAAACTGTGAAAATATTTGAGTGTCTTGGATTGAAATTAAGGTAATAGCTGTAGGAAATGTTTTGATAAATTTTAGAATATTACTGAAACATTTTACAAATTACGGTGTATTATCTCGAAATTTAGTGAAAATTTCTATGTGCAGAAACGCCCTTTTGATCGGACAAGTCTAGCTGACCCCCTCCAACCCGATATTCAGGGTTTTCACTTTCTCTACCTCCCGACACAAGCTGGTCACGTGACACCCAGATTTTAGGTGGAGGGACGGTAGGTCATTATTACAAGGAAAACAATAAATATTCGTTCGTATATAAAACGTATAGAATGTGCTGAAAGACTCTGAATTTTCATTTGCTTTATCGTTTAATGCCGACTACAACGTTATTACATAAAGGGAAAATGTAATGTTCGTAGTACTCTTTCTCGACAGGCCGGTTTCGCATTACATTTCGATTCAATTTTTCTAATATAAATATCTCGGCGAGTATTTACCCCCTTTTAAATAAATGCCACCATTGAAATCCTCACAATATAACCTTTCGAACGGGGGGTCAAGTGCCGTCAAAACATTACACAAATCACATATTTACTCACCGCTTGGCCAAAGATTCTAAATTTTATATCCACCAAATCTTGAATATCTCTTGAACTTTTCGTCATTTGCTGAACGACTATACGTGTAAAATACTTTCTGTATTCAGGCGCTTTCGTGTACAAAATTTCGTTTGAATACGTCGAGTAGAAATATTTATTTTGAATTTTTCAAGATGTCGGGTTTTACTCGCACTTGCGTACATTGCGCAATAATTGGCCAATAATAAGAATCTCCCTGTGGCCGGGATGACGTCAAACTCACGCGTGTAGGTGCAATTTGACCTTGCGATTTCTGACCTTTCCAGGGTCATACGATACAAGCTTCGCATTGTTTTGACGGTTTTCAGTCGTATTTCCGATTGGGATTAACTCACTTCGAGCTCACAGTCGGACAAGAACTGGAAATATATTGATAAAAGATAAAGATTTCAAGATACAGGCTTGCAAGTAAAACTCTAAATAGTGTTTTTGACGGGGATTTGAAGACTATTACAAAGACGATATGTTCGAAAGTTATTTTCGGCGAAAGGTATGGCTAGTCTATATTTTTGTTCAGACAATTGCGTAATTTGATACAATATGATCGTTTTGACTTTCAAAGGCCCATAATTCGTTACAATACTAATAATGACTATAACTATCGTTTGGAAGTAGTTGATATTTTATTTCTGAATCGAATGTTGGTATTTCTGTCTTCATAGCATGCACTGAACCGAAGGTATGAAATTTCTAGCCGTCGATCGCTCCCCATCCATGCGAATAGGGCCTGTTGAGAAAGAGTTGTAGGTTTCGTAGCTAAGAGCGAAACCCTTGACAGTACAACAACTGAAGACAGCGCTCATCACGATTGAATCTGATTTTACCTTAAAACATTTTTGTCCATAAATATTAGCGATTTACTATATATATATATATATATATATATATATATATATATATATATATATATATATATATATATATATATATATATATATATATATATATATATAGTATATATTTATATATATAGTATATATTTATATATATAGTATATATATATATATATATATGAAAGGGTTTCAGGCATCATGTCTGGGATATATTATGTGAAGGTTCCTTGTGGATGGAATTTCAACAGACATAAAATGTTGTTATATTTAATATCTAGACGTTTCGCCGATCTTGATCGGCGAAACGTCTAGATATTAAATATAACAACATTTTATGTCTGTTGAAATTCCATCCACAAGGAACCTTCACATATATATATATATATATATATATATATATATATATATATATATATATATATATATATATATATATATATATATATATGAAAGGGTTTCAGGCATCATGTCTGGGATATATTATGTATATATATATATATATATATAAAAACAGATATTTCTCGCTTGGCTGCCAGACAGTCCACTCGATCTGAACGACAATGTTTTTGTTTTAGTTAATTAAACTAGCAAGATTTTCACACCGATCTTATTATGAGCTTATAAGTTATAACGTAAACAAACGTGAAACAATTTACTGCAATAAACCCCCTATAAATACAATATCTGCATGAAAATCTATATTAGCTAACCATTAGTTGCGGTACGTGGGTCGCAAGTGTTCATTATAAAGCGTGTACATACTGATGTTTCGTGTCGCACGTGCCCACTCAATTACGAGCTCAATTAAATCTCGACTGTGACTGAAACTGGGAAATGAAATCGACAACAAACGCGAAATAGCTAGTAGTAGCACTTATAAAAGTCCAAAAAAAAGATTGAATACACCTATACAATTCTAAAATACTACATTGAGACATTTTTTCTTTCAATATTGGCAGCCTTCTCTATCCTTCTATAACTATATAATTTGTGTTTTGCAACAGGTGGGCAAGTTGTCGACGCTGACCAAAAATAGCGGCTCATTTCTTCTCGAGTTGCCATTTTTGCGTCGAAGAGTGAAAAATATAGACTCTCAGGGAATATTTTAGCTGTTTACTATCAAATATGTTTGTGAAACAGTTGTTAATCTTACTGAGGAAGGCCAGCGGTTTCTGAAAAGCTAAAATACGTCGAAATGCAGCTTTGGAAAAGACTATATTTTCACCTGGGAAACATGAACTAAATGGATATTTACATCAACACTAGATTTTGCTCGTGCCTACAGAGCTAGTTGGATTGAAACAGATGTTAAGGTGGCTCGCTACAGTTTATAGAAATGTTGAAAATGCGTAAACTAGATCACCTTTTTGAAGAGATGATGCTCTTTATAAATCGAAATTTGTATATTATATATACAGCGACAATCAAACAGTCGAAAATTGGTCAGAAAAGTGACGTCACCACTGTTGCTATGGCAACAATGACGATTCAAGATGGCCGATATTTTGGCTTTGAACGCATTTTACTTTAAAAAAAGGTCGGTTACCCCCATTTTTTATTTCAGAAAACATTTTTTTATAGTACAATACACTATCTGACAAATTTTAAAAAAATTCTGTAATGCCAAATTTTTAAAAAATTTATAAATAATTTTTTTTTGCATTACAGAATTTTTTTAAAATTTGTCAGATAGTGTATTGTACTATAAAAAAATGTTTTCTGAAATAAAAAATGGGGGTAACCGACCTTTTTTTAAAGTAAAATGCGTTCAAAGCCAAAATATCGGCCATCTTGAATCGTCATTGTTGCCATAGCAACAGTGGTGACGTAACTTTTCTGACCAATTTTCGACTGTTTGATTGTCGCTGTATATATAATATACAAATTTCGATTTGTAAAGAGCATTATCTCTTCAAAAAGGTGATCTAGTTTACGCATTTTCAACATTTCTATAAACTGTAGCCAGCCACCTTAAGAAGTAAGTGAAAATGTGAATTTTGTGAATTATATTTTCATTAAATTGACCATTAAATTATAACTAGTGTCATGTAAATCACAGAAAATTGAAAAAAATCTGGTCCATACACAATATTCTGGATTCTATGAGGCCCCGAATGGGGCTTATTTCAATGTTGAATCTGTTTACCTGGAAAAACATGGAAAATTGAATAAGTCAAGAATTTGACTATGCTCATCATCCAAAACCAGGTTTTTCTAATTGCTTTTTCACCTGGGTTTGTAGCAATACCAGTTATGCGACCACGAAAAATGCGCGCGGCACTTTTTTGCGACACTGAATATGGTGATATTTGATGTTGTCATATATTGCCATCCTCTTATCATAGTATAACTTAACTTATTTTAGTGAGTTTGTTGAAATGTTGTGCTCACTACATGCCGGTAGTATCCAAGATTTTTTTTATAGCATTAGATGATAAATTTAAGTTCTGTTTTCTTTTATTTTAGGTGATAGTATCTGTTCACTTGAGTGTTGGTATCAGATTTTGGTCAACTATCATTATTATTTCACATTCCTTTATTCAAATATCCAAATAAATGGAATATGACATCAAGCTGGAGGACTAGATCCTGTTTCCAAACTTGTTTTTGTAAAAATAGAAAATAACAACTTATTGTATGCTGTTCTAATAAAAACTATTGTTTTTGATATGCATATTTAATTTTTAAAATTACATTTCATTCTTTGTTAAAATGTGTTCCAGGAATCCTGAAATCTTTCAGATCAGCTAATAGTACTTTTATAACTTATATAGCCAAGTGTTCTATCTATTTCTGTTCAGATTGGACAACTGATGGGTAAAATATTAGATTAGAATTTTTCAAAAACATGAGCTTGCCTGTTTTCAAAGCATAAAAAGCAATAAAATAAAGCAAAAGTACTTATTTTTAATTTTAAATCTTTGGACTGTACAGCTTAATGTTTTCCACTAAATATTACAAAGTTTTCGTTCATTAAAATGTTGTTTTATCAGCTTTAAAACCAGATAAACCCACGAAGCACTCCTAAATATATGTCGCCATATTGATTTTCTTCGCGCATGTTCAGACAAATTGCCCACCTGTTGTGTTTTGCGACAAGCATTATTTAGAACCCCACGAGGTGTAGCAATTTGACATACTGTACAACTAGAGTACGTAAACACGGGGAAGTGAGCACTTAAGCCGCATAAAGACAGCTATTGTTACTGCCGTAGGCAGCACACTATTCTTGACAACTGATTTTGGCGCCATGACTCGTGCCAGTTTCCTTGACCGAGTTATAACGATGCAGCTTGAATCAAAATATAGAAGAAATTTGGATTTCTGTCAGTCGGTAATTGCTCGTAAGTCGCCGTAAAGCTCTCGCTCTTTACTTTCCGCCATGATGAAAAATATAAAAAACGATAATTTCTTCACAAACAATAAACGACAATAATTTCGTTAGAAAATTATTTTTTGCAGGTACGTTTTAGCCATTTATTAATCACGGTGTTGCCAATGTTTACTTACTGTATTAGTAATAAGTTTATATTGACCATATCATGACAGAATGATGCAGGCATGTTCAATGTTGTCAAATGTTGTTATGATTTACGAAGAAAAACGTGAAAA